TGCAGCATTGCTGAGTCTGAGCCTGCTTCATAATATTTATTGCTGATATCTCTGACTATTCCTTACTGCAAATACACGACACAAAATAATACTTTTCCAAAATCATAATCAGTACAATTCCAGACCCTTATAGTTTGCTTCTTGACTCCATCAAGGTTGAGTTAATTCATTCAGATTTCTCACTTAATTTCAGTTTCCTGGCACCTACAAATGCTGTATGGTTTGCATTTTTCTTACCATGAGATTTCTCCCCCTTCGTTCTTTAATACACATAGGACTTTTCTTCAGCTAGATTGATATGGGCTGCCCTGTACTTCCTATCCTTGCCCCGTGTCTCCATTCTGGTATCATCCCTAGAGCGGTGCATGAATCGATGCTGGTGGAACTGATGAGCCTATGAATTAATAATAATTAATGACCATTTTGACTCACCCAGTGTTTATCTGTTCAGCTGCATTATTGAGATGGAAGGGATAGCTATCTTCATAGAAATCTTTGCTGACTGAAGGCCTGATGGATAGATGTGAGTGAAAGGGCTCACATCTTTATTTTCAGGTTTTCCCTAAGTGCTAGTGCAACCAGGGCTTTGTGGGCTTCCACTGCCAGCGATTAGAGAAGTGGCATGTGGAGAGAAGACTGGGAGGCAAAATATATGCAGGAAAAGTGGAAATCACCAAGGAAAACGACTGAAGGAGAAATCAATAAGAGGTGAAAGGTCAACAAGCCTCCTGCTGTTAGTCTGTCAAAATGTATTTAATGGGTTCATTGGATATTTTTCACGTTTAAGAAATTGACATAAGAAAGGGTTAGGCTGTAATAATTTTTTATCTCCCATGTACAAAATAGCTTTTTTATTCTTTGAGAAGTTTATATCTGATCTCAGTATTGCATTCATGCCCAGGGGTTTGAAGGTTCAGCAGAAGTATAATGACAAGCTTTCAAAACCAAATTAAGATAGCTAATTTCTAAGCAGTTAATTCTATAATCGTAGCCACATTAGTTTATCAAAGTGTAAGTTTAAATATATGCGTTAAAATAAATTGTCAGAATTCAATATAGGTCTTGCTACATCCAAAGTTCTAGTCTTTGAGTCTGAACATCATATTTTTAAAAAGGGTGCTTTATTTATTCTTTTTTTCTACCATCTGTACAAGATTGATGTTTAATTATCTCCTCTCAAAGCAGGAATATGCCTGGGAGTAAGAGTAACAGGTACAAAAATCTTCAACTAATTTCCAGCAATAGAATTTACTACAGAACTTCAAAAATAAAAAGCCTATCCACACAAAATCACATTTTTTCTATATTTTAAAAACTTCTATACTTTCACTTGATGAATATTCTTACTTATTCAGTTCTCCTTATTTATGAGATTGCTCTGCAATCATTTTTTTAGAGGTTCAGATTTTTGTATTGCTTTAACATCTTTAATCAAAGCAAATTTAGGTAAATTAGAAGTATTAACTCATTCAAAGGTTCCTGAGCTGTGCAGAGAGGTTAAACATTAAACTTTAATATCTGGAGGATTCAGTATGGTAGACTTATATGAGATAATTATTACCTTCCTTTTAAAAAGAGAGTAAGAAATTTATGTTCAAGATCTAAATTTCCTTCAGTTTTCCATCTTGAACTATCCAACACCATCTTGGCAAAGGCCCAACAGATTCTTGGATTCCAATGAAGGCCTGTTTCATTAGCTTTGAAGAGTAATGCCATGGAAGTAAAGTTGGCTTGAGGATGTTCCTTGAAATTGTCAAGCCCCCCAAGATCTAGCAACTCCGTTTCCCACAGGTAATATTAGCAGAGCTCAAATAAGGTTATATACACATATAATGTTATATATATAATTCTTCCATATACAAGAATTTAAAAAATTAAATTTGCTTTTCCATTTTTCTAAGACATGTTGAGATTTGAAATTTCAAAGAGTTAGTATGGAAAGGCACTACAGAAGTCTAAATGGGTATTTTTATACTTTTCATTTTCTGAATGTTAATTGTCAGTCATTTATTAGCAAA